GTAAACACATAACTGCAACTGAAGAAATAACTGTTTATTCTACAGCGGATACTGGCCGATACAAATGAAACACAGGGAAATGGACTAAAGGGCACAATAAAGAACAACAAAGGAAACGGCTGTAGAATAGAAGACCACCGTGCAATAGTTACTCTACTCATTGAAATGAAAAAAAAATTTTAGTAATTATAAAGCTGCTATAAGCAGTAAAGCAGATGGCTCATTGCCAATAAAATTTAAAAGTTTACACGAACTTTTTAACCGAAAGCGTTGAATTGTCTGACATCAAAAAAACGGCCGACGACTGTTTCTTAAAGGTTCCATCTCGCTAATCGTAGGTGCGACAGAAAGTGTTTCTGGAAGCCATCAAGCATAATACTGGCCCTGGGTTCCCTAAGCCTAAGCTTAAAACTATGCGTTAATAACTGCAGACACCACTGAAACCGAAATGCGCTAGCACTACGTTTCCTTACAACACTATGACGTAATTTTGTTTATCAGTCAATTCCGGCAAAAATTATGGTGGAACTCTTTATAACTTTTTATGTCGTCTAGCAAACGACCTAATATGACTAGAAATAAAAGAATAAAGCTAGTGTGAAAGGATCAGCTTTTATTAAATTGGACGAGAAGGCTGTTATGAAGATTATCATTCTACTAAGTTTAAGTTTAATTTGAACAGTAGCTGTAGCATAACTTTTATTACGCCATTAAAATTAAACTTATTATTTTTGAAAATTTTTCGTGATGCTTAGATGTTCTTTTTTTTTTTTTTCAAAACAGTGGGAGGATACAGATATAAATAAGCAAGAAGCTGTAACAGTTTCGGATAAGAATCAAACACACTGCTCATATCTGAAGAAGTATTTGCTGAGTGGTGAATGACTTTCCAACTTTTTATTCCCTATCTCTAATTGGTATCAAGTCTGCATGCAGTTCATGAGATTCATATTCAAGTCAGAAATAAAAAATTTGTAACAAATTGTTTTTAACCGGTAATAAAGTTTTAAAATTAATGGACCGTTGCGAACGAGCTGATAAAGTAAGAGTAAAAAGTGGAAGAAGCTATGACCGTTGACTAGGCTACAGCGTGTGACAGAGCTTGTATTCCGTTAAATGTTTATAGCTTAAAACTTGAGAAAAAAAACCAAACAGGGTACAATTATTTTCTAACTACACAGTGTATGGAATGAAGTGGGACTACCTAATGCACTTTACTTTAACTGACTTTTACTGTCTATCACTACAGTTAAATGGATCGCCGTTGAAGGTTTGTTTAGCACCACTGTTTTTATCAGTCAGGAGAGCAAAATATGTTTGACGCCTCCCCAAATACGTCTTACGTTTTAAGGTTTAAAGAGTCTTTTTGAATTTTCCTTATAAATTTCACCGTAGCGAGGGGAAGGAAGATGATTTATCAGGACCCGGCACTGGTTTTGATGAGGCGGTTATCAATTGATCAGGTCGCCTGCAGTCCTCATCGAAATCCATGTCAGACATTGTCGCGGGAATGGTTACATAATAATTATAGTTTTTAGTAATAAAAACTTATCTGTTGTTTGTTCTGTCAAGTACACTCAATTTTGCCTCTTTTTTAGTAAAAAATTGGTAAAATTAGGGGAAAAAAGTCGAACAACCACAAAAACTTACAAGCTTTTAGAATTTCTTTTAATGTCTGCAGAACAACTAAAAATTTGTATTAATTGATACTCCTCCTAGGTTTTCATTTGAAATCTAGAACGGAGGCTACTGTATCCAAATCACAAAGTAGGCAGAAGTAGAGATTATTTTGGCGTTTATTTTGAAAAATTTAATGGCACTTTTTAGATACCTCGTATAATAGAATAACAAGTTTGTGGATACAACTAAAATTTTACCCTTAGATAAGTAGGCACAAGGTGGTAAAAAAGTGGTTAAGACACAGCCACTCAAGTTGAGCTATTCGTAATTTGAGTATTTTGAAGAAGATAAAGCAATATAATGCAAAAATTGAGTGCGTTTGGTGCAAAGTTATATTAGTGACGTGAAGGATCGTAGGACCAGAAATTGCTTGTTTCGAATTGTGCATCCTGGCAGTAAGAAAATTTTAATTTTTGTGAAATAGGAAAATAAACTTAAAAAAAACTTTATTAAGCAATTACACCGATTTAGTTCCGAAAAAAAAAAGCAAGCAACAGAGCTTGTTTTTCTCAACATTAATTTATGGAAACGCTAATTAAAGCGAAGTGTGATGATTTTCGATGTATTTAATCTACAAAAACATTTTGCAGCTACAACACACATATACAGCACAGTTATCTGAACAGCTATAATTGTTAGGTTAAGAACCAAACTTTTAGATTATTTTGTCTGATTCATAAGCCATCACTATAAATATAACTTGTTTACTCTATAAAATTCAAAAAAAAAAAGAAAAAAAAAAAA